TTTTCAACACATGCCGCGCGCCGTGGGCATCTGGTCCAAATGTAACGAACAGTCGTACTGTTTGCACGAAATAACCGCATCGGTTGTTCTTGAAAAAAACAACTATTATTAACACCTGGGAATCCCTGAAAGTCATCTGTCTGACTTAAACTAAGAATGCAGGGCAAACGGGGTATTGTTGAGCTACAATAAACGTTTATACGAAATGCTGAGCAGCGAAAATTAGATCTAGTTGTGGTATGGAACCGGTAGTTCAAGTCAAATCAACGAATCGCTTTATACTCGTCAAAGAGTGAACAGATCGGGACTGAGCTAATTGCTAGGAGCCTTTTGATCCTTATGGGCGACAAAGGAGAATATCTGAACTTCATGCAGTCCTGTTATTGGAATTTTTGTGAGAAAAATATAAACACTTAAACAACAGACAAGTAGCTGCGAAGAGTAGTGAAGTCTGTTTTAAGTAGGCGAGGGAGAGAAAGAGTAAAATGTGGCAAGAAAAATGTGCTAGAAACAAAAAGACTTGAAGTTGAATTGTCTCAGCTTGCGTATCTGTTAGGACAAAGTACGTAGTCTACCAACACAGGTTTACTTACGGGCGGAACATTCCTAGATATTTGGCGTTTGTGTGTTCTGCTTACGAGTACTGAAGTGATGCTCGAGGCTTCCAGCGGATACTCAAATCGCAAAAGAATTAAAAGCCATTCAAAACCATTTTAACCAAGACCTAGTTGATATAAGTATGAATGAATTAGTGATAACGTGTCGACAGACGACGTCATATCCGACCGGTTAGAAATGGCTTGAAATTCAATCACGTCATGAGAATATCGGTAAACTTGGAAAATATATCTGAGCGAAGTTTAGTATTCTGAAAAACTCCCAAATGATTGACTGAAAACCGGTCTGTTTGCGTTTGTTCTTTCAGTTTATCTCTTGTCTTTCAATCACGACAATAAACCAATGGAAAGAAAGAGTGACGGCAACTTTCGGCGAAGAACAGATCGTAGAATAAGAATAAAAGCAGAAAAATACTCTAGAAAAACAAAGAAACAAACGGTTTTTTGGGAACTTTCTGAACATTTACCGATTGCATACATTACAGAAGGGACTAAGTCCTATGTCAGTCTATTTGGTTTTACACGCGGTTCGCAGGGGGTCACTGGGACCAGTTATATCGGATCGCAAATGGGTGAACAAATGTGCGATGTGTCAGTTTAAGTCCCGAGGAAGTGTTGACAATGGAACAGAGTTGTTTCGATGAAATAGTAGATGAGGAGGGTTTAAGAATTGGAAGAGTTATGAAAGATCCACGGGAATAAGAGATAGAACATGTGTGTATAGATTTATTAGTAAAGGATGCGAAAAGCTCTCGGATTGGACGGATACTATGTTTGAGCACACTCGAGGACAGACCATCTGAACCTGCTGCACTCAGGTTTCTTGTGATCCTGGGAGGATCAAGTACTTCCATATGTGTCTATCGTAGATACGCAATCGACAGATTGTGAAGGCAGGAAATCGTCAGAAAAATCAATAAATACCTCATCGATCAGTTTGTCTGTGGATCGCTTCTTCTACCCGTACAACAATCGGGTCCCCCGCCACAACAGCCTTTCATTTTCAACCGGCATGACATGCTTCGTGAACAAAATATTCAGTCTTAGACTTGCGAAGGAAGCGGTTTCGTAGTAGTCTGTTGATGCACTGTGTGCGTTCGTGCCTTTAGTTTTCTCACAACAGCAGAGAGAATGCTGTGCCAGTGTGTTCGCAGTGTTCCTGTTTGGCAGTGAAAATCGAGTTCACTGTATCTGTACAATAATCAACCGAATACGGGGATTATTGAAATGAAAACCACGACGAGGCGATGATAGTCGATTTCTCTTTTTCAAAAGGAGTCTTATTAGTGAAAGCCTCCCAATTTTTATGGTCGCTTGTTTTGTTCAAATAAAAGCAGGGCATGCCAGTCGAGGTTTATCTTTAAGTCTGAGACAGAGGAAGGAGACTGTCTGTAGCCGCCAGCGGAGTTCGTTCCCTTCAGTTTGAGTGGAAAAATATCAAGGTGGTCAGGAATCACTTTGTTCATCTCCTCTGGTGGAATTTAGAGGGAAATTTGTTAGCTCAAGAGAAAGTAAAGGTTGATTTGATCCATCAACAATTAAAAATGAATTATCATCAATCAGGAAAACAATGAGTGCAAACAAACTGATGTTAATTAGTGAGCAATTAGGCACGATAATTCCCGTTTGTCGAACAGAGGAAACACTGGGTCAATATGAGACAACAAGACAGTTAGTTCCATTAAAGGAAGAGGTACACAAAGTTTCTGACTTGTTGCATCCAGTGGCGTCACCTCATCTTAAAACGTCTTGCTTAAAACCAATCCTAGTTTATACCAGTGAATCCGCTGTGCATGTAACATGTATGTTTATGTTCCAGAAATAAGTCGGTGCATCAGTCAAGGTCAGCCATTTTGCTATCGAAAGAACGAATGTAGTAACTGACCCATATACAAAAGATCAGGCGATGTATGTGTGTGCAAGAAGAGTTTGCCGCCTGGAGCGCTTACCCATCTTGATCCAGTTAGATAACCCCGCCAGGTCGAGCACACCTATGGGACTTGGGTAGCACAAGACTGAAGGTATTATCTTTTTTCGTAGACTAATACCACGAGAAACGAACGGCACGAAAATCTGGACTGCGAAATAAGTTCGAATGCAACAATGAACAGACACATAGCACTACCAATCGAAAGATGTGCATTCAAATCAGTTCATTGAGTTACTTAATCACACCGCCATGTACACATTTAGACGCCACAAAATGGAGAAATGATTGAGTCCATTGTAGATACTCAGCTAACTTAATAAATCAAAACGAATATAACCTGATTGGCATAAGTCTGGAGAGATACGGAACTACCAATCGTTTCCTTGCTTTTATGCACGTGCCAAGGTGTTAGGCAGGAATAAATTTAGATTATGAGGAATTAAAGATACACCAAGGATCAGAAAGTATTTCGTGGCCATGGTTGTCACCGGTTTGGATGTATTGGGTGATGATTCGGTGGATGATATGAGCTCCGGGTAGACAACGGAGTGTCTGAATGATCTGAAAATCATGCAGATATCTCTTTTTTAAATGAACAAGGGAAGAGCATTGGGATACGTTAAAATCCGTTGTGATAGAAATAAAGACATACTCAGGCTGTTCTGTCTGGTATAAGGGAACAAATGAGAATTTTTGGTAAAGGGCGTAGAGAGAAAACCGTCGGACGTTTGAAAAAAGCATTTGTGTCTTCAGCACAGTTGTAGAGAATGGTTAAGAACAGTACTTGGTTACTTAACGAATGCCCCCCCCCGTCCCGGGATGAGGTGGTGGACTCGGCTCATCACTAGTGACCCGTGCGTAATGAAAATAACACATTTAGACGGATTCATAGAGTTTCTGTCGCGACGATCTGTCAGACGGTACCTAGGTAAATAGCAGGGGAGACAGACAGTTACCGGAAAATCGGAGTCAGAAGTAAAGTCAACAATATAACTGCTCAGCTGTGAGTCTTTCAAAGCAGCCATGGTTACTGGCTAGGTGAAAAAAGGAGGCAGTGTCACCTGATGGAACTTCTTATTTAGAGGTTAACACTGAGAAGATTCAGACACGGTAGTGTGTGAACTGTTTGAATGTTGAGGATGTCTAGATTGACATAATTCTCAAATTCGATGGTCATTTTATTCAGTTTTTGAATGAGTGGCTCAGACTGCCCCCTACCCGCTCTGCACCCGTTGCTGGACACATGGTCTCGTGCTACTGCCCATGGCTCGACTCTCTCCGGTATAATGCAACAGCACAAACAGTATTTTGTAAACCATATGGATAAAATCAATACAACCCCGTCTCGTCATTTTGGAACACTTCCTTTTGCATTCGGGCTTTACGTAAACCCGTTTCGGAGAATCCAGTTGTGGCCTAGGCAACCGGAGAGAACTGTCTCCATGCTCATTGAATTTTTCGTCACCTGATTGGACAAACTAAATAACTCAGGGTGGAGGACCATTTTGTTTATACATAATGTAGCGCTTATTTTGGACACATGTATGTGCCGTTAAGTGATGCATGGAACAGTCACGACTGTTTTCACATTCTGTATTAGATTCAGAACCATCTAGAATGCTGAACTGAAACCGGTTTGGTTTATCTGGTTAAAACGATCGTGCTTGTTGTAACAGAAGGGATCGTCCCGATGCAAGATTCCCAAATTACTGGATCGTGAATGCTACATACCTACGTTGCCGGCACCTTTGCCCCAGTTTTCTCTTTAACGTGGTTGTGACGACAATTCTTCGTTGTGACCATTTATCCCAGAAAAAACGCATGCTACCCATTTGAAATGCTCCCCCAGGGTCTTTCCCCTAGCTCCACCTTATGGTGTTGCTCGAATTACGTTGAAAGACACAGCATCAGGGCTTCCACTGAAAAGATACATTTTGAACCGTTCAGCTACGGGCATACTCAGAAGTTCAGCGATGAGTTAGTTCTCCAGGATTGCCTCCTTTGTCCCCTCTTTTTTACTTTTTGTAGTGCCTGTTTGAACCTATCCATAAATCGTTCGGCCCATCCATCAACACAAATCACAGGAAGCAAATTCTGTAATTTAGATGATCGACTCACTGCGGACGTTGCCTTGTCATCTGGTTTCTCCCCTTGCTTATGTTTAAAGTTGAAAAATTTGATCGAGCCTGTAGTTGAATACAGTGACTTACTTCGAAGACTAGGACTCTGACAAAAGTGTCATTAAGAGTAATCTAGAAGATAAACACATTCGCAACTACTCACAATTTGCTTTTAGCCCCAAAATATGCGTGAATATAGTAACGAGCACATAGTAAAGAAACGGTTTTCCTCTGTCTGCCATTATCTGTGCACCAGAATCTGTTAAATTGTGCTATACATGGGACGTGTTGTTTTGTGTTTATTTCTGACCCCTAGCGATCGTATTTCTGGAGATGTGGAAACGGAAACAGGTCAGTCTGGCTTTTCGATGGAACGTGTACGCGCTCGAACCGGTCGATCAACCTGCTCGTCCCGAATTCTTGGCTCTTTTGCTCAAGGGATACGAGAGCAAAGTGAATCCCGTATCCGGGGTAAGTGTTTACCCCCCTCCCCCGCCACCCTCGGTGTTTCTAAACCTCCTTGGCGTCCACAATTTTTGCATGCATACAGCGTTTAGGTCAGAAGACGGAAAGTGTACTAACAGGACACGTGCCTGCCGCGGATTGCAAAACAAAATGGCTTAATTTCTTTTACATTCCCACTGGGATATGCACTATTTTTATTTCTGCATCAGTTTCAGCGTAAATCAGGTGATCAAGTAAGTGTCATCATTCCCCAATCCGTTTTATTGTCCACGGTCGCTGATTGCATCACAAGTGAATCACCGCGAGAATCGTACCGGTGATCGGACTTCATTTACCGATAATCGATTCCCAACTGTTCTAATGATTTCAACCCATTGATTTGTTGTTGGAACATGCAATTCGGTTTAATATTTTTCCAGTCGGCGGTTGAATGGATTTCCCCATTCGTGAAATAAGCGAAAATTTTTATACTGTTTGACGCCAGGGGCACTGCATGTAATTTTCATCACGCAGTAAAAAGCATTGATCAAGATCGGGCTCTAACCAGACACGGAATAGTGCACTTGCCTGTCGCGGATTGGTTCGATCTACTTGATCGTAGCAGCTAAAGCGTTTTTATCGCCGTATGAGACTGACTTACCGCGATTAAAGCCAGTACCAATTGGGGCAGTAGGCTCAGGCTAAAACCACAGCTAGTGTGCGATCTTATCTAATCGTGGCATAATCGTAAAGGTTCCCATTGTATCCTAATGCAATCGCATCAGCGTGTCAGGGAAACGGCCAATGTATTCAATAGACAGCTCACCTCCTTAGTATTTTTGATCTAATCTTTTTACCGCTGGTCACTATCCCTATTGCTCCAGTCCGTACAGCCTAATGTACATTGCCAGATGATTGAATCGGGTATGTGACAAGGCTAACCGTGGCTGGCCTTTACGAAGTTACCTTTTATTAAATAGCCATAGACTTGTATGTTCGGTACATCTTACGGCTTGGGGTTATTGTTGTGACCATTGTGAGTATAATGTGTTCGAGCCAGCTATTGCAGGTGGTTGAAATTGAGTTTTTCCAGCTTACTTACATAAAGTACCTGACCTTTGTTAGTCAACCCGTTTGAAACGTCAAATATTGATTTTTCGCATATCAGCACCATCCATTTCCTCGAATGAGCTTTAGTGTCCTGTTTTGGAATGGGGTAGGTAAAATCTCTTAGTAAATTTATGAACGTTGCATTACTTTTCTGTAACTCACAAGGCATACTCATATGGGGGAATGTAGGTGAGCAAAATTTCATAAATTTTCTGTCCGAGGATGCCAAGTCAGCTATTGACGAGAAATTTGAAATTTCGCGACCATTTCCATCGATTGATTCTTATCCGTTATCCTCTATGTGCAAATTGGAATGCGTTTAGCTCGAGGGAAACTTGTCGTGTTTTGATGGTAATCAATCGAGTATCAGTAATTTCAATCGAGTCAATAATCACAGAACTTCTTAATGATCACATCAACTCTTGTGCTAAATTTTCCAATAAGATTCTAGAGGACCCTCTGCATCCACTGTATCCCGATCTTTCATCTTGTCGTCCCCATCCGTCCACACGTTCCACTTTTCGGTGTCTACCCTCTCGTATTAACACACGAAAAACCCACTGTACCCTAGCTGGCCAGACTCCTGACCAAAAAGTAACGAGTCGCAAGTTAATTAAGCCAGAAGTTCCGTACATGAAACAAACTTGGGCGACATTCGTCAAGTTACATGTTATATGAAACTGTATATTTAATTCTGCGTGACAAACCATGTACATTGTTCATTGAAATGTAAGCATATAAGTTTACACAATTTATACAGATAAAAACCTGCCTTAGATCATTTGCCAAATCTTGATTTAGGGATGAATTTATCGTGTGTTTTAAGATTTCTCCTCAACTTTGATTCGTAATATTTGATCACGATCTGATAGTTAGCTGTTATCATATTGTNCCCAGGTGAATCATTCATCCCTCGGTTGTTCGGTATCACATCACGCGCTGTGGTCGTGCAATGTCACCCCATCCCCAAGTGCGACTCCTTTACTTTCGCAGGGATATTGTAAATGGGGTTGTGATATTGTACTGTTATCCCCGGTTTACTCTTGTCTTGTCTGTTACCATATGCGCGAGTGTTCGATGGACACTTGGTGAAACGCGGCTTGAAAACAGTTCACCAAGAAGCTAGTAATCACTTGTGAGTGCATAAACAACGAGGAAGAACGTAATACTGTGTATGCGTGTGAATTGACTTCACACAAAAACGAAAAAGTACTGGTTGTTTTGTGAGCTTTCAGATCATTGTCAACTGTGAACGAGTCAGTGGCCTAGTGAGAAATTGTTCTCAGTCCTATTATTGTTTCCCGCTGGTGAGTAAGCTATAAACGCGGGTGGCTCAATCTCGCTCAACATATACTTCATCCGTACGCCCTCTGATTCATCGTTCTAGTTGTGAACAGGCAAGGCCAATATGGGCTGTTTATGTTGTTCTCGGTTAGCAAAACGATAGTCGAAATTACACAGTTTTGTATACTCTGTTTGTTTCACTGCACACGGGTAGCTGAATCGGTCGGTTTATGTGGCGTTGGTGTGCACTAGATACACATGAAGGCGCGGGCACATTCACTTTCTTACAGACTCAAGTGCATTTGTCGCAGCGAACTCCAACACCAATTTGCACACAAATGTTATGGTTCGTGATTAAGTGTATGGGATGGAAGTGGCTATTCACGCCGAGCTCAATCGGCATCCACCCCAATATACATTCACTTGTTCCAGTATCAAACACCCGCGGGCGTTTATCAGACCAAAGTGTATGATCGAGAAAATACCTCTCCCAAGGGGAGGGGAATATTGTAATTTATTTAAAATCCATGAAGTGATAGATGTACTGTCCAGCTTTTGTGGTTTATTCGGTATTTAAAGCAATCGTGTTTTGTCGAGGTGTATAATACTCTGCCCTAATTGTGTTCAGCAATGCATTGAATTCCCAAGTAATCCCGTTATACGGAATCTCGGCACAAAGCTTAGTCAAATATGTCTTTTATGAATTTATTTTCAAGCCACTTCAATCATAGAAAAAATTTGACAGGAGTAAGTATAGTCCGCGCAACGGAGTGATTTGGCGAACGAGGTGGGTTGATGGTTTGGAGTAGAATCAGGGCAAAGACGGAAGACACGAACACCTGAGTTCCGTAGCCCGGTTTTTGGCGTTTATCTGACTTCAGCATTGTGCCCCAACTCTGTGTGATTGAGTTTTTGCCGAGGTAAGAGAGTCGGAAGGCTGGCCAGCTGTTTCCGTTGATATCAGACTTACAGACCTGGTAAGACCTGGCATGAGGATACGAAAACCCTAACCGGGAGTCTAGGTCGCATAGGTCCCGTTAGACTCCTGGCTAGGGACCTCGGGATGGTCGTACCTGACGGTTAGAGACACTGAGTCATATGGCTGGGTGTCGTAAACAGTGGCATCTGTGCATTTTCTCAATTTCTCTGTATCCTTAGTCCGCGGAATTTTTCAATTTTCTCTTCAATCCTACTTTCAACCTTTCCTGTCTTTTTCCTTATGTTCATTCAAATGGGTAGCCGGAAGATAGCAACCCAAACCGGCGCACAATAGTGCATGGTTAATGGTTGTACGAGCTGACTTGAACTGAGACTTGCATTTGACGAGGATAATTCTACATGCGGTTGAATCGAATGTTTATGCTTGAAGTATTCGGATCGTTCAATCGTATGCAATCTAAATCCCGATGACTTGCACAACTCTGGTTCATTATTGGCAACTGATTGCTGTCCTAGGACAGTGAATACCGCACGAAACCAGCAACTAAAGTAGACGCGAGATATATGTAGAACTGGGTGGATAGAATTTACCTCAGTTTTGAATAAACCCGTAGAGTAGAGTGTGTTATTTTCCAGGTTGAGGTCAAAAGAGTGACCAATTTGTTGTAGGTAACTAAGGTCAGTTCAGATAACGGACAGTAACCAGGGGATTTTTGTCATTTCCGGTCAAATCAAAATTGTGCATGCTGTTCTTTCGGGGCCAAACCATCACAAACCTGGTCCCACGATGCGTATCCCAACGATCTCAGTTAAAAGGCATTTGAAAAACAGTGCAACGTTTTATAACATGAGATCCATGGATGGAACGGATCTCAGTGAAAAAATTGAGCGTCGTGCTCATGATTATTGAGGAAATTAGCTTGATTTGAAAAGGCCTTCCAAGAGGGTCGAAATGTTGTCACCAACGCGTTTGTGTTTTGGTTTTCATTCGTCATGGCTAAGACAAGCTAATTTCCTCGAACGTGCAACGTTTTGTTGGTAGTGTCAGTCAAAAGTGCATTGCAAAGAAGAGAAACGTAGGGTATATTTGAGGGTTGATCACGGTCTAGTCATTTATTCAGTATCCGGATTAGGAGGGCGTCGATAGGGCGATTGCACAACGCAGGTTGCCGTTCTCTGCTAGTCACCTTGACGACTACGTATACAGAACCCTCGAGAAAACGCTGGCCCGTTCTCGTTGGGGGCGGGGGGGGGCGGCTGATCCCTATCCATTTCGAATTCAAACCGTGAGAATTATCGCGGGAAGGTAATGCTTCCTCTGTTGAGATTACAATATCCTATCATCAGCCTTAGCTCGATATATTTTGATGACGGAACATCCGATTGACCGAAGCACGGCGTTTCAGATTGTCCAGGCTGCAACAAACGCACGGTGGCTAAGGTTCGCAGAAGCGATTGCTATCAACCGATGGAAGCCTCCCACTTTGAGTCAACCAAAAGAACTTCATGTTCGTTTTTCCTTAACCCGGTGACATGATCCTTTTACCCCTTCCCCCGTTTGTGTCTATTTCAATGTACTATACTTTGTTGTCATGCTAAAGCCCCATAGAAACATTGTGTTTTCTGCAGCATGCACAATGTTCACATGTGAAATCGCCCCGAGACGTGCATTGTCCAGTATCACGATATGGTCTTTCCTTTCAAATCNTTTTTGAATGTGTGTATGTATCACTAGACTGTGCGCTGTGTGCGTGTGTGTGCGTTCACCATAGCAATTCTTTTTCTTTGTTCTTCCATCAGAGTAGGCTCTTTTCCATCCGCCTCGCTCCCCCACCCCCTCCCTCTCACACATGCACATCCCAATCTATCCAACGTGCTTTCATTTGCCTTGCCTATTCATATGGTGAACCTGGCAACAATCAGCGTAGTTTGCTCCACTGTTTTTCAAAATACACATTAAATGATGTTACTAATAAAATTGATTGTTCACGGACTTTGCCGTTTCGACCGGAAATGTATCGAGTTAGTCGTTGCATGATCGGGACACAGGAAAGCATGCGTGCTTCTGCCTTGCAGTGTGTTTGTGTATGTGAGTGAGTGATTGCTATATGAACATGGAATCCCATCACCCGGTCACTATTCATTTGCGAACCCGATCTGGCAGCCTAGAGGCATAGCAGCAATTATGAGTCGGGCAGACAGCCCATACCGTTGCGAGGCTCTTCGCCTGTCCCGGGTGATGATTATCGTCGTTTGTGTCTATGCTCGGGGACGATTCTTATTCAACTGACTGATGGATGCGTTTCGTAAAAGTTTTGATTTGTGTTTCTTTTTCACCCACTCCACTCCTAACCCCGGGGTTTGAACAGAACATTGAACCATTGGTCCCATTCTGGCGCAAACGGGTTCCGCGATTCATTGTCAGCTACACCACAGTTCTGTTTGCGGTGAGTTGTTGGCGCTTTCTCGTCAAATCCCCCTTATATCACCCTGTGATTTTCATGCAACCATTGTCAGCCCCCTCTCTCCGGAAACTTGTTGTCCATTAGGTTAATTCACGGACCAGCACGTAACCATACGGTCAGTATGAATCTGTGTGTACAGATTCTTCCTTGATTTCGTAAACCCAACAACATTTTAAATTTTGTGCTTTTTACCTTCTTTGGGGGATAATACCCCGGGTTTACCGTTTGTCACTCTTCTAATCTGAGAGAAGCATCTTTGAAATGATTGACTACTTATCAGTGCAAGCATCACTTATCATCTATTCCGCGTTACGCATGGTGGTTAAATTTCAAACAGTTCTATCCGGTGTGAAAAAAAAATCCAACCACATTGACTATGGTTCCTCACTCGTTAATTTGATTGCTTCGGTACAATTGTGTTCAAAGAACGCTAAGTATTTTTACGGCGACACGTTGCATCAGTTTCGATTCGATCTGCGCACCCATGACGCATGGTCGCCATGCACTATTCCACTCCACTCAAAATTGTAATGTACCCACTCTCAAAACGCCTGTCTTATGTTCGGTATTTCTCACTTCATGGAATTTTGTTT